TTCCTCCCTCTCTCCCTTCCTCCCTTTCTTCCCTTCGCCTCCTTTCCTCCTCCTTCGCTCCTTCCATCTCTCCTTCCATCCTAGCTTCCTTCCGTCCTTCCTTCCTTCCTTGATTCGTTTCTTCCTCCCTAGCTCTTTCCTCCTTCCCTCCTTTCCTCCTGTCGTCCCCTCCTTCCTTCTCCCATCCTCCAATCCTCCCTTCCACCCTTCCTCTTCTCCTCCCGTCCTTCCTTCTTTCCTTCCTTCCTTCCTTTCCCTCCTTCCTTCCTTCCTTTCCTCCTCTCTCCCTCCCTCCCTCCCTCCCTCCTTCCTCCCTCCCTCCTTCCTCCCTCCCTCCCTCCCTCCCTTCCCTCCTCCCCTCCTCCCCTCCTCCCTTCCTCCCTTCCTCCCTTCCTCCCCTCTTCCTCTCCCCCTCCCCTCCTCCCTCCCTCCCTCCCTCCCTCCCTTCCTCCCTTCCTCCCTTCCTCCCTCCTTCACTTCCTTCTCTCCTTCCTTCCTTTTCCTCCTCCCTTCCTCCCCTGTTCCTCTTCTCCACCTCCTCCCTCCTCGCATTCTCACTTCTTCATAAGTGAACGGTTTTGGGGTTTTGCTGTTTGCCTTTTTGGGTTAACGCGATGGTTCGAAAACCATTCGACTGTTTTATAACATATCTCCAAGAAAAATTCTGGATTTACAAACTGCTTGATATGGGGACACTCCGAAAAGAAACGCTTGTTGGTCAAGCAGCCAATCGATTCGCAACCGTTTCCGTGAAGGCGCAGTCTCAGCACTGTCAAAGAACTGATACAAAGCCAGGTCTAATTCATCTTCTAGATCGCCATGAATGCGTTCGTCCATGGCAGGATGATCGCTATGAATGCGTTCGTCCGGTCTTTTCCTCTCTTTTGGGGTGGGTTTGTCTTTATAATGTGTCCCCAAAGAATTGGAACTTTCTAAAAGTTCTCCTATAAAACCAATTCTCCTGCCATCAAAGGCATATCAAAAAGAAATCAGCTCCTGCAACATCTTCTGAGGGCACCATGTGGCACAATGATTTTAGCTTTCAGGCCGGTTGGAAAACCAACAGCCTGTCGCACTGCAAAGCTTTGGCAAAGCTACAGCTTGCTCTTGCTGCTCTTTAGCCCCGACATCTTCCTGCGCATGCTTCTGTCAGCTTACGCAAGACCTCAAATAGCTGCCGTGGATGCTTTGTGAGGGCCTGCTGCCTCCGATGGTCAATCAAGCAAGCCACGTTCCTTCTTTGGGCCGGTGTTTTGTATGCTCGTCTTTTTTTTGATGCGCCCCCCCCCCCCAGAATTGGAGGGGTCCGAAAACTCCGTTTATAAGTCAATCAATCCCCAAACAGGCGAAAGAAAAATACAAGGGGTTCGCTTCAAGTGAGCCCTTGGCACTCAGTTCTCACCATCTTCAATAAGCACGGAGTCGCGCAACTATGTTGATGCAGTGGATAACATGCTGCGCTTGCGCGTGTGCCTGCTCATCTAAAGACATTATGTGAGGCTTTGGGCCTGGGATGCTGAAACATATGCGCGGCTTGCTGCGGATTCACAGCTATTGCTTTCGTTTGCAAGCGCCTTAACAAGAACCAACGACGAAGCACGATGCGCGGATTCTCAGCGGATGCATAAAAACTACTTCGGGGTAAGGCCGCGGATTCGAAAAAACACAGGAAAATGAGCGCGGATTCCGATCCGGTATTCGAGAATTATAAAAAAGTAAGAGGGCGCAGCAAAGGCGCGGATTCCAAACAGGCAATCTACGGACACCTTGCATTGTATGGGGGGGGAGGGGGGAAAGGGAGGCCAAAGAGGCTTCGATTCCCAGAATCGCGACGGTCATGGAACGGAACAATGTATAGGATGAACCAAGAGCAAAAACAACGCTCTTCTCTCCTCTTCTTCTCTCTTCTTTTTCTTCTTCTTCACCACCACCAAAAGGTCGGCTCACAAAGGGTGAAGCCCTCAAGCAGAGGCCAAGGTGAGCTGGAAAAAAAACGCATTAAAACTCTTATCCCAGGATGTTTTCATTGCAAATCCAAGCGGCGGTCTTCATAAGAGTGAGGTCCCCCAAAAACATGCCCCTTAAGTGTATGAGGTCTCAGGTGTGTGCACCGCTGCAAATTGTTGCTGGCTGCTGCTGCTGGCTGCTGCTGCTGCTGCTGGCTGCTGCTGGCTGCTGCTGCTGCTGCTGCTGGCTGCTGCTGCGGCTGCTGCTGCTGGCTGCTGCTGGCTGCTGCTGCTGCTGCTGCTGGCTGCTGCTGCTGCTGCTGGCTGCTGCTGGCTGCTGCTGCTGGCTGCTGCGGCTGCTGCTGGCTGCTGCTGCTGCGGCTGCTGCTGCTGGCTGCTGCTGCTGCTGCTGGCTGCTGCAACTCATTGCTGGGATCTGCAGAAACAAAGAAAATGCAAACTACAGACATGGGCCACTCCTGATCCAAGGCATCTACGACTTGCGCGCGACTTGCGCGCGACTTGCGCGCGACTTGCGCGAAAATTTAGCAATCTTCCGGATTCTTTCGACCATGCGGATGATGATGATGATGATGATGATGATGAATCATCACTGCGTCACTTGCGCTTCACTTGCGCTTTACTTGCGCGGCCCCATGTTTGACTTGCGCGGCCGCTCCTGCAACACACTCCTGCCATTCAAATTACAAGCAGTGGTGCAGCTAATTTGATAGGTCCAAAAGACCTGGGATCATGCCTGATACTGACACATACAACGGCAACTCAGGTGAAGCCGAACGCGCTGTACAAGTTTCGCGAACTTAACCAGGGAGGACCAGCATTTTGGAGGCGTGCGATGGACTACGCGGGAGAACCACCACCAGAGGAACAAATGAGCACACAAAAAGAACACCACCACCAAAAGGTCGGCTCACAAAGGGCGACGCCCTAAAGCAGAGGCCAAGGTGAAGCCGAACGCGCTCCACACTGCGATGCACAAGTTTCGCGA